TGCGGGCCCGGCCGTGGGCGGGACGGGGCCGGGCCGCACCCTTTCCTGGCCTGACCTTCGGCTCCCGCACCTGCCCCACGCCGGCCCGCCCAGTGACCCGGCCGGGCGCAGGTTCGTGTGTGAGCAGCTAGCTCCCTGCTCCCCAGGGCTCCTGGGCCGGAACAGCCAAGGAAGGACTTTGGCCAGGCTGGAGCCCTGCTCGCGGCTCAGCCCTGCCGGCCTCGTCCTGTGTCACCTGCCCGGCCTGGGGCGGGGCTCCGGGAGCTTCACGCCCACACCGACTTCGTGCCCTTCCGCAGCTCAGGGGGCGCCCAGGCGCCGCCCCAGGGGCCGAGGAGAGAAGGCGACTGCGGCGCTGCGTCGGGCTTCCCGAACCCCCCTCCAGCGCCTGCCTGTCACCTTCCTCACGCCCCAGTCGTCCCCTGGGGACACCGGATCGCCGTCTCCAGCCTGGCGCAAGCTTCTCACTCACCACAGTGCCCGACAACTCTTCAACCAGGATGAATCCCAGGGAGCTGGGACAGCCCTGGGTCGTGTTTACAGTCCTCGGTGGCCCGCACTGGGGACCCCTCCACCCCACCTAGACCTGTTTCTGAGGCCTCGGGGTTTCTGTCCTCAGCTCCCTGCTGGCTCGGCGGGCTGGGGCTTGGCTGAGAAGTCTGTTTTTCAGTATGTAGGGTGTACTTGTTCCTGGCAGCAGGGCTGGGTGTTTCCACTGCTCCTCTCCCTCCTGGGTGCTGGCTGGCAGGGATGGTGCCCTGGCCATCCGGGTTGGCTGTGTGGCGACGCAGCAGCCCCGACGCTCGGAGCTGCACCCGCACCCGCACCCGCACCCGCAGGGGCCGGGCTCCCCTGGTGGCGTCGTCTTCCCCCAGCCCAGCCTCCTACCCAGTGGAGGCTGCCGGGGTCTGGTATGGTCCCCAGCCCCTCTCCCAGCCCAGTGTGGGTGGCCGTGGCAGCTCTTGTCCAGGGACTCAGGGGCATGGGAGGCTGTAGCCAGGCGGAGCGCAGGACCGAGCTTTGAGGCGACATGGTGACCCCAGGCTCGTGCAGGTTTACCCACTCCAAAGGTACGGAAGGCCTCATCTCCCGGGTGGAGGTGGGAATGCGCCCTCCTGCCAGCGCAGGACAGAGTCATGCCGCCTCTGCTGGCAGCCAGGGAGGGGGTGCAAGGGCTGAAATAAACAAGTTTGTGAAGCGATGCCTGACTGTCTTATGTCGCTGCCGTCAAAACCCCTGCTGAGCTGGGTAGGGTGGCGCACATCTATAATCCCAACAGTGTGGGAGGCTGAGGCAGGAGGATGCAAGTTGGAGCCCACCCTGGGTAACTTAGTGACTTAAACAGATCCTGTCTCAAAATAAAAAAAAATTTAAAAGGCTGGGAATGTAGCTCATTGTGAAGGCCCTAGATTCAATCCCCAGTACAAAAACAAAACAAAACTCTGGACTAACTTGGTGGCAGAGCCTAAAGCGGACCCTCAAAGGGACCCTTGTGGCTGACGCTGGGCCAGACGGGGTCTTACAACCTTGTATGCCTCTCAGGCCAGATGCTGCCCCCATTTTATAGATGGAGCTGCTGAGACTCAGAGCAGTTATGGGCATTTGCCCAGGCCACAGAGCTAGAGAGCAGCAGAGCAGGAGTAAACCTCTGGGGTCCTGTGGAGAGCAGGGCCTCCGGGAGCATGGGGAGGCACGCAGAGAAGAGGATTTGAAAATCGATTGTGAGCCCGGCGTGGCACACACCCGCAAGCCCAGCACTCTGGAGGCTGAGGCAGGAGGATCGAAGCAAGTTTGAGGCCAGCCTGGGCTCCATAGTGAGTTCAAGGCCAGCCTGAACTACACAGTGAGGCCCTGTCTCAAAAACAAAACACCTCAGCTTAGGGAATTGTGCCGCTTATGTGCTGAGTAATGCTTCCCATCTCGTGGGACCACGGTTGAGGGGTGCTGGGGAAGTGGCTCCCTGAACTGGCTGAGTCAGGGTGCTGCCTGTGACGGTGGCCACAGGGCACGGGACGCTGAGGGGGGAGAGAGCTCCAGGACGGAGGGTCACAGGTGTGCCCTCACCTGCCAGTGTTTGCCCTGAGCTCACTGGGAGGAAACCAGTCAAAACCGGTTCCAGGGATCCACCTGCCAATGTGCGCCCCTTACCTCCTGGCCCAGAGGAGGGGTTCAGGGGACACTGTCATCAGAGGAATATTCTGAGAAGCCACTTGGGGCAGGGGCGAGACCCTCAAGAGAGACACTCAGGTCAGAGGCTACACCTCCCTGCCCAACACCCATCCACCCTACACTATTAGTTCAGTTCAGTCGGTGATATTGCTGATGTTTGACTTATAGGCACTGGCTAAACTTTAGCTGCCAAAGATAATAAGATGTGAGTAGAAGGGTCTTCTTACTTTTAAAAAGAGACACAATGAAGAGCTCCTTATTTTTCCCTGGCAGGGAGTTACGGATGCTTGGAGCTGTGGCAGCCATCTTGTCATGAAGTAGGCCATGCTAAAGAAAATGCCACACCTGAGTTTGGCTCATACTTGAAAATGGCCTTGAACTGCTGTGGAGTGGTTCTGAGAACCTGCATATGTCTTATTTGATGTAATAAATGTCCCTGTTTGAAGCTGTGTGCAGGACTTGTTACTGAGAGGCTTCCTCAGTCAGGCATGGTGGTGTATGCCTGTAATCCCAGCACTCAGGAGGACAAGGTAGGAGGATTGCTGTGAGTTCAACGCCATCCTGGGCTACAAAGTGAGTTTTTTTTTTTTGCTTTTTTTTTCCGGTACTGGAAATTGAACTCACGACCTTGTGCTTGCCAGGCAGGTGCTGTGCCGCTGGGCTAAATCCCCAGGCCCCACAAAGTGAGTTTAAGACCAGCCTGAATGGCATAGTAAAACCTTGTCTTTTTTTTTTTTTTTTGTCTTTTTGAGACAGGGTCTCACTATGCAGTTCAGGCTGGCCTCGATCTCACTTTGTAGCCCAGGCTGGTCTCGAACTTACAACGATCCTCCTGCCTCAGCCTCCCTAGTGCAGGGATTACAGGCATGCGCCACCATGCCTGGCTGTGAAACACTGTCTCAAAAAAAAAAGCTGCTTCTTCTGAAGACTGAACAGATATTGAAAGAACACCATGTCCCTACGTGGCCCTGCTCCTTGTATGCTCCTGTACGGAGCTTTGCTTGCACTGTGGTGAGGTCTGGTGCCAGCTGACCCCTCCCCACCCCACCCCTCCCCTACTGCACACACTGTGAAGGTGCTACCTGCCCCAGTACAATCCTGGCATCCAAGTGCGGTGAAACCCACACAACCTTAACCTCAGCTGTGGACGTTTGCATTTTTTGATGAAGGCAGATGGGTCCAGGAGAAAATACTTGCAAATCATTTGCAATCTGGTAAAGGGCGGGGATGTAGAAAATATAGGGAACTCCAGACAACAACAAGATGAAAGCAACCCAGGGGCTGGGGATTTAGCTCAGCGGCACAGCGCCTGCCTGGCAAGTGCAAGGTCGTGAGTTTGATTCCCAGTACTGGAAAAAAAACCCAAAAAAACAAAAAAAAGATGAAAGCAACCTGATGAAAAAATGCACAAAGACAAGCCGAGCCTGACGGTGCACACGAATAATCCAAGCACTCTGGGAAGCTGAGGCAGAAGGATTCCAAGTTTGAGGGCAGCCTGGACAACTTGGCAACTTAGTGAGACTCTGTTGCGAAATAAAAAATAAAAAGAGGGCTGGGGGTATAGCTCAGAGCAAAGGCCCTGGGCTTAATCCCTAGTACCACAAAAACTGAAACAAGGAAAAAAACCTGTGAGTTACCACCTCATGGCCCTTAGGATGGCTGCTATGGCCACAGCAGGGTGAGTGGTGTCACAAGGCTGCAGGGAAACGGGACACAAGGCGGCTGTGGAGCTCGCTCCACAGTCTTCACACAGCTCAAATCAGAGCCAGACGCCACCGCGGGGCCCGCAGTGAGCTGTCCACTCACGTTCACAGCACTGTTGCTCATGACAGCCGCGAAGCGGAAGCAGCTCGTGACCACCAAGCGACAGATGGGTGCACAGTGCGGTGTGTACACGCCACGGAATAACACGCAGCCCTAAAGGGGAAGGAAAGGCTGACTGGGGCCACACGTGGATGGTGCTCTGCAGGGAGGCGCCCGAGCCGTCTGACTCCTTCGGAGAGCAGAGGCCACTGCTGGGGGCGGGGAGCACACAGGAAGTGGGCGCTTCGTGGGTACTGAATTGGGGTTCAGGTAAAGAGCGCTCTGGACGTGGCGGTGATGGTCACGAGTTACAGATACACTTAGTACCACAGCACTGTTCAGAATGGTGAAGGGGGCTGTGCTGGGCGTGGTGGTGCACACCAGTAGTCCCAGCATTCAGGAGGCTGAGGCAGGAGGATCCACACAAGTTGGAGATCAACCTGGGCTACATAGGGAGTTCAAGACCAGCATAAACTGAACAGACTCTATCTTTAAAAAAACAAAAACAAGCTGGGCGTGGTGGCACATGCCTGTAATCCCTGCACTCAGGAGGCTGAGGCAGGAGGATCGTTAGGAGTTCGAGACCAACCTGGGCTACAAAGAGAGCTCAAGGACAGTCTGAACTCCATAGCAAGACCCTGTCTCAAAAAGACAAAACAAAACAAAAAACCACAAAAACAGAAACAAAAAAGATGGGATGGGGGTGCTGTTCAGTACACGCAAGGTTGGGACCAATAACCCTATCATCACCCGCTTCTCTCTTTTTTGAGACATGGCTCCCTTTTGTTGCCCAGGCAGGACTCAAATTTTGAATCCTCCTGCCTCAGCCTCCCATGTAGCTGGGATTACAGGTGTGTAATCCTGCACGATGCACGATGCCTGGCTTCACCCCACCCCTCTCTCAGCTCCCACAGTTCTCCCGACTACAGCTAGGTGGACAAGAGCTGGTCCCATGACACGAGCTGAGCCAATCAGGGCACAGAGACTAAGGTGTCTGTGGGCACTGAACAGACGCCTTGGCCAGCAGGGGAGCCATGATCAGATGTCAGGGAGAGAAGCAGCCAGGCGGGACGGAGAACAGTACAGGTCCAAAGAGGCGGCCCGACCTCGCATGCCGCACATGCATCTGTAACTGCGCTGAGAGTTCTTCAACCCCGCAGTTCCTGGCTATGTTTCTTCCTTTTTTTTGGTAGTACTGGGCTTTGAACCCAGGGCCTTCCCCCTGAGCTATATCTCCAGCCGTTTCTTTTCCCTGGCATCATTTGTTATGCAGTAAACAAAACAACTAACACCAACAGATTAAGCTCAGGGCTGTTTTACAGATAGGAAAACAGCCTCATTCAAAGCCCTAAAATTCCCTGGTAGCTGAGTTCAAATTAGTGCCAAGGCATGGATGGGGGAGGTCACAGGCCACCGAAGAGAAACTGTTACCTGGAGTACAGAGCACCTTATCCAAGGCCACTCAGCTGCTGGCTTGTGTGGTTCCCTGCCCAGGGGTGGCTTCAGCTTCGGGGTACCCGTGAGAGCAGCCCAGTCCCCAGAGCAGCAGAAACCTCGTCGTTGGCCACGGGGAGCTGAGCCTTTACAATAGTCTGGCGCCAGCAGCCTGGGGGTTTCAAGTAAGGTTTGGCCTTGTTTATTCTCCAGGGATGAAAGACTGAGTGGGTGGAGCCAAATCAGAAGAGGACGCCTGTAATCCCAGCACCTGGGAGGCCGAGGCAGGACAACTTTCACCCTGTGGTCCCTCAGGTGCTGAGCGACAACCTGGCTGAGGAAGTGGGCGTGACCTCTTAGTTACAGAATTCCAGGACACATGCGCAAAATAGTTCCTAAAGCCTTGTGCGGGCGCCAGAGAGGGAGCTCCAATCTCGCGAGAACTAGAGCAAGTTTTCCATAGGGCAGCCTAGACCGGTCCTCACCCGAGGGTCAGCGAAAGACAAGTTCCCCTGAGCTCCTGTACGGTGTGCTGTTTCACAGCGCTCTGCTTCCACAGTGTAGTGTGTCTTCCCTCCTACCTTCACTCGGCCCAAACTCACTCTGCAGAGCATGTTTCTTTTCCGACCTTTAATGGACGTAAAATCTTGCTACCTTTTGTGCTTGTTTTGTCCTGTTCCTTGTTCCAGATACTAAGAACCTAGAAACCACCTCTAGGAGGAGATGCCGGCGCCCCAGAACCTGGCAACAGTGCCTGCCGGTTGTTCCCCCCCCAGGAAGCCTTCCCGGCCCCATATTCTCATTATCTGGTTTGCCCCGCTCCCCCCAAGTGGGGAGCACACAGCAGGTGCGAGACACTGACTTTGCTGCCGTCCTCTGCGCCACCAGACCCACCTCCTCAGGGAAGGCTTGGGGCCGCCTCGGCCGCCCCCCTCCATTCCCATTCCTGCTTCTGTAGTTTGCACTCGCATACAGCGTCCACAGTAGAGCTGGTGACTTAGAATGGAGCCTCATTCCCGAGCCAATGGGGTGCCTCAGGCTCTCGGTGGCTTTCACGTCCCAAATCCCACCTAGACCCCGCCTCTCCTCCTTCCCGCCTTCCTTCCGTTTCTGACCAGGGTCTCATTATGTTGCCCAGGCTGCCCCAAACTCCTGGGCTGAGCTAATCCCCCTGCCTCAGCCTGGGTAGTGGCTGGGCCCGCAGGCGTGTGCCGCGCCCCGTCTGAGTTCTGGGGCTCCAAAGCAGCAATCCCTTTGTGGTTCAGGTTTTACCGTCACCTTTGGATCTTTACACCCGCTAGTGAGGGAGGAGGGAGGCACCTTCCCGCCCTCCTGGTACGGCTGGGGCTGGCACTGGAGCTGCAGGGGTGCGGGGGCCCGGCCCTGACCCCCACTCCCACCCCTCACCCCTCCTTGGGTGTCCAGCACGCTGAGGACCGCCCTGCTGGCCTGACAGCCACAGTTTCCTAGGTGAGATGAGGTCACTTGAGCCCACAGCAAGGACATGTGGAAAAATGGGGCAAGGGGAAGGTCTTTGGGCAAGAGAGGTATCTATCTTGGGACACCATGTGGCTTTGGCTCACGGGTGAGTAATGTTCAGTGCCACTTCAGGCTCTCCTGCGTTATTGGTCACACACACACACACACACACACACACACACACACACACTCTCACACCCTCCTGCAGCCTGCTGCGCAGGACTGGAAGGCCCCGGCCCGCTCCCGGTGACACGAAGGAGCGGTGGTGGGGGTCCCGGGAAGGCGGCTCAGGCGTGTGTGCCGCAGGCCCTGCGCAGTGGCTGTCACGCCCCACAGGCCCCAAGCATGGTCCTCAGAAGGATGCTCTGAGCTGGCTGCCTCGACACCCCATTTTGTTTTTATTGTTTTTGTTTTTTTTTTTTTTTTTCCCTCCGGTACCGGGAACCGAACTCACGACCTTGCGCTTGCCAGGCAGGCGCTTTGCCGCTGAGCTAAATCCCCAGCCCCTCGACACCCCATTTTGTGACTGAGGAAGCCGGGGCCTGAGTTACGCGGTGGGAAGAGGGCAGCCGTGCGGTTGGTGGAAGCCTCTTGGCATTTTCCCAGCAGGAGGCCGGGCCGCCAGTGCTCCCGCGCTCCACAACTTACAAACCAGCTGGAGCAGCAGCCGGAGCCCGAGGTACAGCTGCCGACCGGAAGCCACATGCCCGAGCAGGTGAGCAGGCAAGAGGTGGCACGTGCCCATCTATCAGCGATCACTCCGCAGCTGGCTGTTGTCACGTTACAGTGTGACCTACCGTGGCTAGGTTTTAGGACGTGAAAGAGAACCCTGGTTTTTTTTTTTTGTTTTTTTTTTGAGTCATAATCTTGCTAAGTTTCCCAGGGCAGTGCTCCTACCTAGGCCTCCCAAGCAGCCTGGATCACAGCAGCATACCAAAAAGTCATTTCTAGAAATAGCATTTTGTGGAAGCCCTCTGAAGGCCCGCTGTGACCCCTACTTTGCACCCCCAGCTCTGGAACAAAGAAGCAGGACACCCAGAATTATTATACAATTCTGTATTTAGCGACTCGTTTACAGAATGTGTTCCTTTTTTTAAAATTTTAAACAAAGTTCATCAATCTCTTATAGAAACAGTTTTGTGGGTTTTTAATTTTATTTTATTATTATTATTTTTTTTAACCGTTGCGGGACGTGAACCAGACAAAGGTGTTCACGGGTCCGGCGGCTTTAAGCACAACAGGATTTCTGTGTTCAAAAGACTAGACTAAGTGCTTGATCCAATCCCGTCACACTAAAGCCACAGAGTTCTTGAAGAATCGGAGTTTGCGTGGAAGCCTGGATTTCAACATCGTGTTGGTTTCAAGAGTAGAAAGTGATATTTCCCCCACGGGTGTCTAAGGGTGTCTAACGGCAACAGGTGGCCGGGACGGCTAAAAGGAGATGTTTTGTTTGTTCCAGACTGGGTTACTCTGAAACTTGGTTACTATTTCCTATGGTCACAATATAAAAATACCTTCATCTGGATAAAAATGTCTACAGTGGAAAACTCTTCAATGCATAGCCTGGGAGTATGGAGAAGAAGGTTCTCCTTCAGGGAGTGCTGGATGGATATTGATTGACTGTTTGGTGTGGAGACTGTGGCCGGGCCGGGTGCCTGAGAGTTGGGATTTGTGGAACGGTCCTCATTTGTCCCTTGCTGGTCACAGGGTTTCTGCCTGTGTGCTTCCAAATGTTCATGGCATCCATCCCACCCTGTCCCTCGCCCCGTGACACTGGACTGGCATCAGTTATGGTCACCTTTTCATTTTCCTTCTGGGGTGTCACCCAATTGGGCCTTTCCACAGAATTTGACATTTTTGTTACTGGGAATCGAACTCAGGACCTTGTGCTTGCCAGGCAGGCACTTATGCTACTGAGCTATATCCCTGGCTTCCCACAGAATTTGAAAAAAAAGAAGTAAAAAGAAGAGGGATCCAACAACCAATATGGCGGCCATCCCATCCAAGCGGGCCCTCTCCCCCAAGAGCTGAGACGCAGATGCTGGAGAAAGGGCTCCTCGGGGTTGGGGAGTTGAGTCTTTGCCCCCAGAAGGCCAAGTGCTGGAAAGAAAGGTGAGCGTGGACATCGGGACAGTGGATACGCTGTGATGAACTTGGCCTTCCAGCCTTTGTGGACTTGGAGCTGCAGATGCCGTCCAGAGATACCCCAAGGTCAGACTCAAGCCAGAAGATGGAGGCAAGAGGAGTAGGGGCCTCCGGTTTGATGAGTCTACTTTTCGGTGCTGGTTGTTAAGCTTCAGGGCTTGTGGGGTGACCAACACGGTTACTTTCTGCAAACATGTGGGGGAAGATGGCAGCTGCAGTCTTCTCCGGAAGGCTCATGCTCATCCCAGTGGGAAACTTCCTGGGGTGGCCAGGACTCAGGTCAGGAAATAGGGTCACTCTGGCCCGAGCATCACTGACCCCTGCCCCCACACCGGGCTGCCCCAGGTCTTGTCTGCGGACGGATGAGACGGACGTCTGACCTCCGTGGCCAGTTTTCTGACTCGGGGAGTGTGAGCAGGTTGTGTCGTACCTGCAGGATGGCACACTGGCCGCGGAGCAGGGCAGTCCGGGTTACAAAGGTTGCCAAGAGACCACCAGAACGGAACACATCCTCAACGGCATCAAGGTTTTATTTAGAGTCTTTTGGACTTTCTCTTTTCGGCACGGTTTCTGGAAGGGCAGTAGCAATGCACTGTGTCTCACAGACAGGAGTGGGGCAAAAACCGTGGCTCAAAGGTTATCTAAATTTGGTCAGTCTCTTAGTGTTTTATGATGGCTTTGAACAAGTATCTTTTAATCTCATCTAGTGGCAAAGAAAAAAGGACACAACTTCAGTGTATACTTTGCAACCGTTGTGACAGTATCCTGATTTCATAACTCTCTGTAATATCAAAACAGCATTGGCTGGGAATAAATTCCAAAGGATCCTTTATTAAAATATCTAAAAGAGGTCTATAAATATTTCTTTATTTTTCTAAAAGAGTTTGGAGTTCTGGGGTGAAAATGTGGCGCCGTTTTGCTCCCGCCTCTTGCAGAGGGGTGAGAGCGGGGAGGAGGGACAGGATTCCTCGTGCCCCTGGGCAGGGGATGCCAAAGGAAGGGGCGACGCGCCTGCCTCACCTGCTCACTCCCAACTTTGTAGCACTAGGGTTACAACAAAAAACGTAAATGGCATAACACTGCTGTCCACATTCGGATGGGGAGTTCTGTCCAGGAGAGCAAGTGCCAGGAGGGGGCGGCCGTGGGGGGTGCCCGGCCCCCGCACCCACCTTCAGAACTCCCACTCCAGGGCCTCCTCCCGGTTGGCCGCCCTCTCCAGGCGGTAGATGATGCTGTTCAGATTGGCCATCTTCTCGTGCCGCCGCTGCAGGTTGGGGTTCACCTTGGCGCCGGGGTGCAAGGCCCCGGCCGTGTCAGCAGTGGGGCTGGCACTCGGCACTTTGGCAGGGGGGGCGCCGGGCAGGGATGGGGAGATGGGGGCCGAGGAAGAGGGGACGGGTGACACCGAGATCAGGAGGCCCGGTGAGGACGCTGCGGAGGGTGAGTTCAGCGTGACCTCCAGGCTGCAGCGTGAGGACTCCGAGGCTGACTTAAAACTCAGAGGGTCCGAGTGGAGCCGCTCCCCGGCCTCGCTCTCCTGGGAGGGGTGTACCGAGGGGCAGTCTGCGGGGGCCCCGCCCGGGAGGGGCCCTGTGGCCGCCTCTGGGAGCTCTTCACCCCCCGGGGGGCCGGGTTGCTCCTCTTTGGGAGGCCCCTGGCCTCTGTCTGGCTCCCCAAAGTCCTGGGGCTGGCTGTCCACCTCCTCCGCAGCGCCCTCCTCAGTCTGTTCCTGCTTGATCTGCACGTGCACCCTGTCTGGGGCGGCCAGCGCCGCGCCGCCGTCCTCATGGCCCTCCCGAAGCTCCAGCTCCTTCACAGCAGGCTTCTGGTCCTCAGCCTCCGAGTCCGGGCTCCGTGGGGTGGGGTCCGGGTGGGAGTGGCCTGGTGGCAGGACACCAGGGCCCCCACTGGGGTCGAGGTCTGGCTCATCCTGGGTTCCCTCCACCAACATCTCCCGGCGCATCCGGGACCTGGGGCAGAGATGGCGGTGAGCCTGGGGCTGGCAGAGGGGGACCCCACGAACCCTAGACTCAGTCTGTGTGGGTGGCATTCCGACTTTGCCCCTGCCCCGGCGGCTGCCTACCCTGGCCTACGTGCAGAGCTGCTTATGCAAATGTGTTACTCCTTCAAATTCATGGAACAACTCTGCAAAAGGGATGCTGTTAGGGTCCCCAGTGGCCCTGGGTGGGGTTGGGCCTGTGAGGCGCCCGCCCGCCCGCCCGCCCGCGGGTCCCCTGTGCGCACCTGTAGTTGTGGAACCAGTTGATGACCGTGTTGGTCTTGAGGTTGAGCTGGAAGGACAGCAGCTCGATGGTCTGCTGCGAGGGGTAGGGCTCCAGCTGGTAGGCCTTCCGCAGCGCCTCCTTCTCCTCGGGCGCCAGCACCACGCGGGGCTTCTTGATCTGCAGGAGGCTCAGGTCCTGCGGCTGCAGGCCGGGGCTGGGGCACTCGGAGCGCGCAGCCGGGGACTCACTGTCCGAGCCGGTGCTGATCAGGCCGTAGCGGCGCTTCAGGTAGGCTGCGCCGGGAGGGAGCGAGGCTGGAGGGGCCGCGCCACCTGCACCAGCTCCCCAGGCACAGCAGGGCCCGGTGGTTGGGCATCCACAGCGACCCACAACCCTCATCTCCCCCGACCTCCCAGCCCCTCCGCCCTGCGGCTCTGCTCCTGGCCCCGAATGCCAACCTGTGCTGAGGGTTTGGCAAGGCACCTCAAAACAAGGGTGGTCCGTGGCATCCTCCACTGTCAGAGGTGCCCCTGAGTTTCACAGCAGTCTTTGGTGGGGAGCAGGGTGATGGGCATGAAAGGGTCCCATTTACACCTTCACCCCAAGTCAGCAAAATGTGAAGAAAAAGCACTGCTGTGGCTTGATCTGGACTGTCTTCCAAACACCCATGGGGGTTTTTTTGAGACAGGGTCTTGCTGTGCAGCACACGTTGGCCTTGAACTCACAATCCTCCTGCCTCAGCCTGCCCAGTGCTGAGATTACAGGCGTGCACCTCCATACTCCACTAAAGGCCAGTGCATAGAGGCTTGGTTGCTGACTGGGCACTGCCAGGAGTGGTGGAAATGCTAAGTGGGAGGTCTTCCTTGGAGGGGACCGTGAGACTCTGGTTGCTTCCCTTCCTGTTTGCTGGGTCAGCGCTTCCTGTGTTGGGTAGGGAGTGGGTTACGGCCAAAGGGGAGACTGTGTAACGGAGTTGAGGCGGAGGAGGGAAGCACTGAGTGTTTGGGGAAGTACAAAATGAAGATGGCAAAAGACCATGAGCAGCAGCCTGGCGTGGTGGCGCACGCCTGTAATCCCAGCACTCTGGGAGGCTGAGGCAGGAGGATCGCAAGTTCAAGCCAAGCCTGGGCAATTAGTGACCAAGACCTTGTCACTGGGGAAGCTGAGGCAGGAGGATCATAAGTTGGAGGCCAGCATGTGCTACCCTGTCTCAAAATAAAAAAAGGCTGGGGATATAGCTCAGTGCAAAGGCCCTGGGTTCAGTTTCCCCAGAAGACTGCAACAGCCGTGGTATATGAAAAGACACGAAGAGAGATGGGTATTGAATTTTCGTGGCAGACGTACCTACTTTAACTGTGCTCACATACATTGTTCTTGGGGATCGCTAGTTCATGTGGCCTCAAACCAGGCCAAGACTGGGTTTATCTGGATCCCAGGGGCAACTCGGAGGCCAGCCCAGAGCCCAGGGCTTCCTTCCCAGAGCAGCTCTTACCTTTCTTCTCCAGCTTCTTCATGTCCCTCAGTTTCTCCACGTTATGGGGGTCATTGAGCCATAGCTGCATGCGGACAAAGGGCTCTCGCCCTTTCAGGCTCAGCTTGTGCCAGGGTTTGGGCCGGGACAGCAGGTCAGACACGGAGCCTTGTGTCAGGCCCAAGATGCTCTCCCCAAACAGCCGCTGCCCTGGGGATGGGGGTGGGGGGAAGCCTGTTACACTGGGCTCGGCAGAGAAACCTCAGCAATCCTCCTGCCCCAGCCTCCCGAGTGCCAGGATTACAGGTGTGCGCCACCACACCCAGCTTTTTTTAAAAAAAAAAAAAATTTTGTTTATTTATTTTAAGACAAGTTCTCATTATGTAGTTCACAGGCTGGCCTTGAACTTGAGGTGATCTTCCCGCCTCGGCCTTCTGAGTGTTGGGATTACAGGCATACGCCACATGCCAAGGTTGTTTGGTATATTTTACCTTTTTTTTTTTTTTTTGAGACAGGGTTTCACTATGTACTTCAGGCTTAAACTTATTTTGTAGCCCAGGCTGGCCTCAACTATTTTAAAACAAACAATGAGCACGTCTTTTTTTTTGAGACATGGTCTTACTATGTAGTTCAGGCTGGCCTGGAACTCGAAGTGACCCTCTTGCCTCAGCCTCCCAAGTGCTAGGATTACAGGTGTGTGTCACCATACCCAGTGGACATGTCTTATTTTTAATAATAGAAATTATAGTGAAAAATTGGGGGCTTGCATGCATCTCTTTGAGAGAGAGGCCTAACCTGCATCTGTGACTTAGAGGAGTTTGTGATATAAACCAAAAAGGCGCCCTGTAACAGATTTTTCTGCGTGTCTCCACAGGACAAGCACTGGGTTTGTGAGAGGCATGGGACAAGAAGTCAGCCAATATCAGACCCGCCTTCACCTTCCTTCTGTCCCATTACAGGGGCTGAGGTCAGGGTCAGGGTCAGAGGCCTCACACGGACCCCCGGATGCCCAGGGCTGACAGCACCTCCTGGCGGGACTGGCAGGCACCCCAGGGGCACTTTCTGAGACAAGCAGGCGGCACCCAGGGCAGGAGGCAGCACACCTGCTCCCCGCGGCCCGTACCTAGGTTGTTGTCTGTGAGGACCTCCTTGACCCGCTTGGTGATGGAGTACGTGTCCAGCTCTGGGGACATGGCCACGATCTCCTGGATGCCCCCCGCGGCCTGGCTGCCCGAGTACATCTTCCCGCCCAGCACTGAGGCAGAGCGGCCCTCGGGCTGCTGGTTCTCCTTGCTGCTCTCCAGCGACAGGCTCAAAGCCTCTTGGGGGTTCTTCTCGGGCTCTGCGGGGCTCGGGGGTGGCGACGGCGAGGACCTGGGCTCCGTGGGACTGGCTGTGGGCCACACGAAGAGGCAGAGAGTGGTCAGCGCCACCCGGCAGGGCACACCGTTCGGGCAGGCAGCTGGCTGGAGCCGAAAGTTGGCATCAACCCGTTCTGCAACCACCACGGTGACATCCCAGGAAAGGACCACCCGCGGACACCCAGGCAGGCTCCACATGTGTGTCCATCAGCCACTTATTAGCCAGGAAGGGGGAGCAGCCATTCAGCAGCGCTCATACACAGAACATATGTAAAGGACATTATTAGGGTGACTACAAAGAGTAGGTTACATAACACTACTGAATCATGGCATGTTTCTGTTTCTTGGGAAATACAGATGGACTCTACGCCCTCAAGTTCTATATCCAGAGAGTCAAACAACCACTGGTCAAAAATAGTTTTTAAAAATGTGTCAGCCGGGCATGGTGGTGTATGTCTATAATCCCAGAACTCAGGAGGCTGAGGCAGGAGGATCGCCACGAGTTCAAGGCCAGCCTGAACTGCATAGTGAGACCGTCTCAAAACAACAACAACAATTGTGTCTGTACTGGACAAATACAGACTTTTTTCTTCTCACCATCCCTAAATAAGATAGTACAACTATTTACACAGCATTTACCTTGTACGAGGAATTCTGAGTCACCTAGAGGTGATCTAAAGTAACAGGAGGATGTACCAGGTTATAGAAACACGGCAGTATATTCACGAGGGGCCGAGCACCTGTGCATTTCGGTGTCCCCGGAGCTGGCGCCCTGCAGACCCTGAGGAAGCTGTACTTGCTGAACAATAGGGGTGCAGGGACGTGGTGTGGCCAGCCAGTTCCCCAAGAACACCAGTGTGAGAAAAGGAATAGGAGGTGAGTATGAGCGTCTCGAACAGGGAGTTTTTTTTTTTGTTTGTTTTTCTTTTTGACAGGGTCTCTCTATGCAGTTCAGGCTGGCCTTGAGCTCACTTTGTAGCCCAGGCTGATCTCGAACTTGCAAGGATCCTCCTGCCTCAGCCTCCCCAGCGCTGGGCTTACAAGTGTGCACCACCACGCCCGGCTGGAACAGGGAGTTTGTTGTTTCAACTCTGTAGTCGAGAAAAGTTAAACAACAGAAGGAAGTTGGTGGCCGGCGATGATCTACAAGTCCAACCAACAGAAATGAACTAAGTCAACCCGGCAAAGCCAGGCCCGCCCTTCCCCACCTCCAGGTGGCAAAGACAACAAAGGTGTGCTCCTGTCTGTGGGTGTCCCACGCTGTTTACACTGGCGCCTGGGACTTGGGCTTTGGTCACGTGGCATTAGGTTTCTGGTCTGCAATCTGTCACTGAACACCCCGCCAATCTGGCTCATTTCTGTGGCTCTAAAACAGGGTTTTATCCTACAGACTGAGCCCCATTTTACAGGTCGGGAAACTGAGGCTGGGCTCAGGTCCTGGAACTCCAGCTCCTTCCCTTCCCGGGTCTCAGTGGGCAGGTCAGATAGGCTCTTCTGTAGCCACCGGCCTCATGGCAGGGCGGGGCCTGGCTAGGCCGCTTGCTAGGGCCCCAGTAGAACTGGCTGCTGGTCATCAGGGTGGAGGGAGCTGGCACCCTGCCCTCGCATGTCTCCCTCCTGTTCTGTGACTCTGGGCAACTTTCTGGGCCTCAGTTTCCTCACCCCTGCAGAGCTCAACTCCTCCCTCCTTGGCCATCATTTATGAATGGGGAACAGGGGTGCTGAGAGGATTCTGGGGCTGCACAACAGATCTTTTTTTTGTCTTTTTGAGACAGGGTCTCGCTACGCAGTTCAGGCTGGCCTTGAGCTCACTTTGTAGCCCAGGCTGGTGTCAAACTTGCAAAGATCCTCCTGCTTCAGCCTCCTGAGTGCTGGGATTACAGGTGTATGCCACCACGCCTGGCCACAAAACAGATCTTTAGGGAAGAAAGCTAGGGTCGATCCCCAAACCCAGGCAAAATAGTTTCTCTATCTGCCCTGGGCATCCTGGCACCCCTACAGGCATAAAACCAGGGCTCTGTGCACCAGACACGGGAGCAGGGAAAGATGGAACAGGGCTCCCACAGGCAGCAGGACTGGAGCCACAGCAGTAAGGACAGACAGAGGAACATGTGTGGGGTGTACAGCCAGACACAGGTGCCGCTGCCGGGCACGGGGCCCTCCGCAGCCTCAGGCCGCCACACTCACCCTGGGAGGCGCTGGGCTGCTGGCCCACGGCCTGGCCGAGCTGGTCTGAGAGCCACAGCTGCATGCGGATGAAGGGCTCCCGCCCCTTCTGCGTCAGCTTGCTCCATGGCTTCGGCCGGGACAGCATGTCACTCACACTGCCCTGCGACAGGCCCAGCACCTGGGACGGGCAGGACGGGAGGGTCGGTGAGCAGGCCCGAGCCTGGGCTTCCAGCGGTCCCTCACAGCCCAGGGGCCTGCCATGCGCTGCAGGCGTCCCCACCCCAGGGGCTGCTGTGTACCCCAGAGCCCTCTGGGCCCTCCTCCCTGCCTCCTGCTCGGGTCCCTTCTTCCTCCTCCGAGCTTCCTGACGCTTTGCCTGTTCCCTTGCTATGGGCAAAAGTGACCCTTAAAATAAACAGTAGCTGAAAGCTGGGTACACTGGCACATGCCTATACTTCTGGCGCTCTCAGAGGCTGAGGCAGGAGGATCACAAGCTCAAGCCCAGACAGTGCCGTGCGCCGACCGGTCAGAGCCCACGCAAGACCCTTGGGCCGGGGAGCCCGACCCCTCCGCGGCTGTGGGGCAGGGTGCTGGGGGCACAGGGCCACAGAGGCGGGCAGCGCTGTGCCTGGCGCAGGCTCTCGGTCCTGCCCCTCACCTTCTCGCCAAAGATGCGCTGGCAGATGCCGTTCTTGGCCAGCTTCTCCTTGACCTGGCGCGTGAGCTCCAGCGTGTCCACCTCGCGGTACATGTACAGCTCGTACTGCTCGGGCGTGAGCGGCGGCACGGTGGGCTTGAGCGCGCGCGGCACGTAGGCCGGGTAGTAGGGCAGCCGCCCGCCCGCCTCGGC